TTTTTTCCCCGAAGCCAAAACTCCATTTTTCATTTATTGTTACGTCAGCAGTAAACTGTCATAAATCTTTACCACCAACGTAGACAAAAAATTACCATGTTGTCAAATTTGCATGTTTTAAACTTTCCATTATGTATCCGTATGGGGACTTTAAACATTGGTGGAAAGCGAGAAGTGTCTGTTTTCAAAGTTTTGTTCTCAGCTTATGATTAATGTTCTGATGTAAATTCGCATTATGCACATATGTGAAATATTTGCAGACATTAAGTAACTCTTTCATCCGCACACGTGGTGAGACATCCTGGATAAAATTTACGAGCTCTTACACTGTTCTAATTACCTACTTCAGCAGCGCAGTGAACAACGAATGCACCCGTAACATATAGGCTACATGCTTTACACGAGAGTCACAGAAGTTGCCATATTGTCGGGCGGGCCATCTGTTAGCTTCAAAAAATGGACGAGTTTATAGACTAAAACCTCAAACAATCGTATTAGTTGATATTAGAGGTGTGTAAAGATAAAAATATTTTTTAAATTGTTAGTAGAACGAATCTTCGATAGCCATGGACCTCATATCTGATTTAAATACGTATTTTTATTTTAAGAAAATTATTGAGTGTTACGTGAAACGTTTTTTTTTTATATTAGGTTGGTAATATGTTTGATATATTTGTATTGTACTTCAGAAACATTGTCATGTATAAGCCAGCGTTGGGGTCGATGTATCGATGAGAAAGGGTTACAATCGACCCAAATCTATGAATCGATAAAACCTAACCTCGTAACTTGTGATGTTCGTACATGCATGGACTGTGAAGAACAGTGTGTTTCGCTTCAGTTGTAAATCCCTTCACTTCCTCGTTGACTGTACCCTGAGGTATCAGTAGAAATCACGAGGAAAAACTTCACGTGGTAATAAGCGAGAGTGCCTGATGTTTTTTTCTGCAGCTAGACTGTTCTTATTTTGTTCCAGAGATGAGTAGAAGCTTTGTATCTTTATTTAACCTACGCGCAGAGCGTATATATCATCCGGGAAGATTTATCCTAACGACATATCCACTAGCTCAGATTTTGTAGCTTCGGATGGTTATTGAATCGGAAAGAATGTGGAAAGAATCGGTCGTAATAGTATCCCACATATTTGGGTGGAGGGGCTGAGGAAAACCACGAAATATGAGACGGGATATCCGTTCTCTAGGGATGATATGTGATACTATGGCCTCAGGATGAGTGATAAGCACTTTATGGTGACAAGTAGTCACTTCTGAAAATTGTAGTTGATTTTATTTAAATATAATTTGGTTAAACATGTCAGGTAACTGTAACTGTGCGGACAATAGCAACTACTGGATTGTACCACATTTTATTCTAAATCATACATCGCCTTAGTATCTGTAAAAGTAAAACGTTTGTGTTCAGACTTAGTAAAACAGTGAAATTAAGATATTTGTGGTTACCGTAGTAATTAATTTTGGAATGTTGACTGTACGATGAAAAGGAATGTAAATTTGCTACAGTTTCACTGTCTAGGGATTTACGTGTTGGTATGTTGGCTACGCGTAACGGAAGGAGTGTTTTGTTTTCACTACCGATGACAAGATAGTTCATCATGGCGTTGGATAAAAGTGTATAGCAGATGACAAATGAACTAATAATCTTTCTGTTTCAACGTGTTGTTCTAATCGTGTAAGTAATTGATATTACCTCTGCGTTATGCGTTGTTACTATTTATCATTTAATGTAAATTTATTTGTTAATATTTGTATTTTAAATAAATATTATTTGTTTACGTCGAGTGTCGTACAAGGCGTATGAATACAATAGATACAGTTGTTGAATGTTAATGTACGTGATATAGTTCTCATTGAGTTTTTTAGGTTATAAAGTTTATCCGTACTTGAGTTAATTCGTTTGTACGTGGAATATAACTACGCTTTGGATTTTAACCCACTTATGTGAACGCTATTATCATATTTATGATGTGAGTTCCATATTTTTATGTAGGTGAAGTGACATTACGTAGATCTAAGTATGCTGTGTATCTAAGTCTTGTTTTCGGATGTGATTCCATGTCTGTTTTTACCTATTATTTATGCGTATTCACGAAGAAGATATGTGTGCCGAGTATCAAATATTTGCAGTAATGTATTCATTTCTCCGTATTCGTGTGGGAATTATTTCCATGTACCAAGAGATATTTTCTACGTGATGATAGAATTTGTTTTTTTAGGTACAAGAAAAGTTCACAACAGGTGTTAACCAAAAGTTAAAAACTTCACAATAAAACTTCCCGTTGACAGTTTTACCAGGGGGGGACAAAGCCACTCGCACTTTTGCGATGTTTTCCGGTGTTGTGCTAGTCGATTGTCGTCGTCGACAGACGTTCGTCCATCCTTAAAGCGTTAATTTTATATAAGAAAATTTAAATCATTCAATATCTTAAAATATACGCGATTTCTTTCTTAAACATTACCGAAATTCATTTGGTTGAAGGATACTCGTGAAATAGAACAAGAATTGGACTGATTTCAGGTTTCCGTAACTTCGATGTCAGATGCGGGTAGAAATTTATGGCGTAGTTTAGTCGTTAGATTTGTAGGGGAGAGCTTTGAAGTCGTACAAAATATTCCTGTTTCTTTCTAGTAACCAGGAAATAGCGTAGCAATATATCACCGTCTCCCAATAAATCACTACGAATCGATTGTTCGAATTGCCAAGCTTAAGCCAGGAATTCTGCAAATGCTGTAAACATTTATAAGTTTTTGGTTAATTTTCCGTGTAGTTTCTAGACAGTCAACTGAGCATCTATTTAAATTTTAAATAGATTTTCGTTATAGTCATTAATCCTTACGTTTATCACGAAAATTAATTAAATTCGATGAAAAATTGTACGTGTTTTACTTCCGTGTAACCTGGAATGTTGATCTCGGCGTATAGTCTTGTGTTACCCAGACAGTTTTTTTAAATAAACTACAGATAAACAGATTTATTTTAATGTAAAACTGAAACAATTGTCGCCATTATCAAAATCCATTTACGAAAGATGGTTTCGTCACAGAATGAGTTTCGTTTGGTTGTCTTAAATGTAGTCCAGGAAGTATTTTTTTTTTAGGGAGATGTATGGTTTCGTCACAGAATGAGTTTCGTTAGGTTGTCTTAAGTGTAGTCCAGGAAGTATTTTTTTTTAGGGAGGTGTTTTTTAAAATTTGGTCTCCCATTCCGTGGACTCAGCACTTTGAACGATAGGGCCGAGTATAGTCCGCAACGTTTACGTCAGCTTTAAACAGAACGTCGGAAACGTGAGCTACCTACTCGTAAGAAATAGAGTGGGTATGTTCGTAAAAACAGACATGAACATCTGATAGCGATGTATCTCTCGCGTTCTGGGTTTTATACCCTCAGGATATACAGATATGGCACGCTGTAAGAGGATCTTTTCTTGTCTCACGTCAGAATTTCTCTACGTGAGATATTCCTCCGCCATTCGCTTTTCGTTATTGTTTTGTCTCGAGTGTGTTTCGATGTGACCTTGAACGTGGCGCTCGCAGCTGCGGAGAGTCCGACAGATGAGGATTTTAAACTTTTCAAGGTCGTGGATTTTCCTACAGTGAACTCTTAACAAAAATGCAAATAAATTTCATCATATTACACGATGCTGAGCCATTTTAAAACTCCCCATACTACATTTTGCGAAGAATACAAATTATGGAGCTTTTCATTATGCATTATTTTTAGAGAGTTGTGCGACTTCGCTCCACTTAGAAGCAAATATTTTCATCAGCGTTAAAACGTAATGTTTCGTTAAAAGTTCCTTTATTGCGCGGAAGATAATAACAAATTACTATTCATGAAGGTAAGGCAACTTTGTTTTGTTACTTTTGTAGGAATATTCGTTGTGATTATGTGTTTGCTAAGGTTTCATTTAATGGAAGTGTTTCCATGACGACATTCAAGTTTTCATAGAGTAGAACTATTGCTTTTTTAATTGGAAACATTATCGTTCTGTTCCTTGAATTCGTTTAATTTATCTTGTTTCATAAACAATTTTAAACTGTTTTATTGTCTTTGTAAGTATGCATAAGCATTTTGGCTTTATAAGGCCACCATCCTCTCTTCTCGTATGAACATTATTTTGCATATGGGCGACAGGTACACATTTAATTTGTATAGATTTTAACACTTTATAAATGTTATTGTAAAAATCTTTTGTTATATTTAAGTGTTTTCCCTTGTGCTTCAAACTATATTTTAATTTGTAAACTATTTGGTGCAGTATATAATTTATATTGTAATTATTGCCTATAAATTATGTCTTTATGTTTATAATTTTAAATATATATTGAATTTCTGTTCGTCGTATTTTTGTGTCGTGTTATACAGATAGTAATGTTCTTCCTAAAATGTAAACCTGGAATTATTTGAAATTGTACATTCATATTGCTGTCCTATATAAATACAAAATTTCGTGTTGTAAATCATTTGTAGGTTTAAAATATTTAAGACAGATTTTAAAACTGACGCAGAATTTAATAACCTTGATTAATTCTCGGCCTAGGATTTTTTTATATTCGGGTTTGAATTGATAAATTAATATATCGACATATATTGAATTTTTAAAATTAAAAATAAATTTAAGTTAATAATCCGTCTTCACAACGATTCTTAAATATAGTTTCAATGCTTATTAAGAATCCACTACATTATTCGACATTAGTTGGTCTTATCTTTTAATATCTGAAACTCCTCTCCCTGGTGATGGTGTCAGCAAGAACCTCCGAAACGTTGGTAAACATCAACCAGATTACACGACCCAGGAGACAGTATTTTTCTTATCTTGAGATTTCCATGTCATGTGTTTCTCATACAGCACTCCCGATTTATTTTTATCATAATTTATCCCCTTTCTTTAGTCACTAAATCATTTAAATTTCCAAATTATAATTTTAACATTAATCAAAATTCCTCCGTCTTTGTTTAAGCACTCACTTCTTATCACCCTAACGTCTTCATAGTCATTTTATCCTTAGCAGAAGGACGAACGGGCATTGCCTGGGAACCTGCTGACAATAGAATGCTCTTTCCTCCTTGGGAATTAGTGTCTCACCCCCACCTACAATTTTTACTCTTTTGTTATATTTACTAAATATCTTCCTCTGTCTTCGGGTTTAGAGGTGTAACTGTGATTTGCAGTTACGTCTTGTGGGTTTACAGGCGCGACTGCCAAGTTCGAATGACGTCGCATCGGGGCGTTATCGGGATCGACCCGGTTCGCTGTCGACGGGTAAGACAGTGGCCATACCGTCTCAACAAACCACTACGAGTGCTGGACCCTACAACGCACCCCCAGAGACTTCCAGGCTCATAGGTTCCAGCGCTAGAAACGGTACTACTTGCAGGGAGGAAAAGGACCCCAGAGGACACGGATCCGCGGTGGACGGTGATGACGTCATTGCTCCGCCCGGGGAGTCCCCCAATACTTACACGTTTACCAGACACGCAATCCGTTCAAATTACATGGATAAAAGCATAGAAGCTAAGAAGAAGGTAAAAATATAATGAATCTTCTGATAATGGAAGTCAGTGTTTGAGGATTTATCCTGAAGATGGAAGCTTTTTTCTCGAAACAAGACCAGTGTCAACCAAAAATAGATAAAATTTGAAAATGACGTAAAGGATTAAAAATATCATTAAAATATTGTGGTAATGGTAAACAGAATATTGAAAAAGACGTGTTAAAAGAAATGATTTCGTTAGTAGTTTTGACTTCCATCCACAGGAGCATTTTAATCGCACAGTTGATGTCTTTGGTTTTGTCGTTTCGAAATCTGTTCGTTTCACAGGTTTTGTTCATTTTACTTCAATATTCCCAGTTTCTAGTGGCAATAAATAAGGTTGTAAAGTCTTTTACTATTTTTATTTTGGTTTTAAATGAACATGACGATTCTCACTTGTTCCCATGTTTATAGCTTCCATAACTTTGGCATTAAACGT